CTTACGCATGTTCTCTCTCCCCCGCCTCCCAATCCCAGATATCCTGAAATCTGTTCAAACCCTGCTTTTCTACATTATGCAAATTCCATGGGCTTGCTTAAGTGGCGCATTGAAAACCGCTGCTGTTAAGAATGCCGCAAAGTTGTCTGAGAGCTTGAGGCACCGGCAGTAAAGCCTTTTTGCCGACCCTGCATCCTTGCAGGCTGAAATCGCAGCTGGCTCCTTGTGTTGCCAGGACGCTTGGGCTACCAGCGGCTACTAGCCACAATGGCTCTGTTTTCTCCCCTCACTGTGGGAAGAGTGCGGTGTCCTTTTTAACAGCTCTAGATGCTGTGTTATTTTTAGCAGCTGTATGTTGCATAACGCCAGGAATAGGAAGACCTTTCTGACAGTAAAAAGCTGTTGGACCGTGGAATGGACTACCTTGGAGGGTGGTGGACTCGCCTGGGTTGGAAGTTTTTAAGCAGAGGTTGGGTAGCCCTCTGTGGTACCTTCCTACTCTACAACTCTATGATTCCATGCAAATTTTCACATTTACTCGTAGTCTGTATTTGTCCTGGTCCAGCAGAGAGACAGAGGTTTAGGCAGAATACTGCCTGACCTCTGGGAAGCCTGCTAAACACCATTCCTGCCTCCCTGTCCTTAAAATTTTGCAAAGTGTGCCCAAGTTCAAATGTGTCCTCACAGCTTTAAGGGCTGGAAGCCTGCTTCTGTTCTTTTCTTTTTGTGTGTGACGGTGGTTGTGGCAGCTGGGAGCCTTCAAACGCTGCTGCCTTGTGCGCCCAGGACTTAATTCTCTGCTTCCTTTGTGTTGAATGTGCAGAATGTCCCGACCCAAACATCCCTGGATTTGCCCTGCTTAAGAGCTCCGGCTGCGATTGGCAGATTAAAATCAGCAGCTCTGATGTCTTGCTGGAGGCCACTTTCCCCCTCCAGTAACCTGATCTTTGGAAGATGTTGCTCCTGATTTTTAGACTAATTGATCTTTTGAAAATGTGATGTTGAGCCTGTTTTTGCAGGCACCACAAATGTCCCTGACTGCTTTGGGGAGAAGAGCGACATAGTTTATAGAATTAAGTCAGTAGAGAAACGTCCCACCCCCTGCCACCCAGTCTCTCACAACATGAGAATTCTAATAACACCGAATATTGGAAGATTCAGGACAGGTAGCAGAAAATCCTTCTCTATGCAGTGCCTAGTTAAACTATGGAACTCCCACCTACAGGAGGCAGTGAAGACCACTAACTTGGATGGCTTTAAGAGAGGATTAAGTATAAGGCTATAGTCCTATCTGACCTAGGACAGATAGGGTCAAAATAGTTTCAAAATTGTATAAGGTGTTATTAGATAAGGGGAAATCACCAAAGGAAAGTTTGAAAGAATATTATTGGAAGTTAGAAATTCAGGAACAGATTTTAGATGAAGAATGGGAAAGAATCTTTCGGCAACCACCCTTTGTTGCCACCTCTAGGATAATCCAGGAAGAAGGGTTGAATTTGGTACAAAAATGGTATTATACACCTGTGAGGTTATATCATCTTACAAAATCTGGAAGTAAGAATTGTTGGAGGAAATGTGGAGTGTTGGGAACGTACAGTCATATGTGGTGGGATTGTCTGTTAGTTAATGAATTTTGGAAACAGATTGGTATAGAAATACCAGGAACTGTGGGTAGGAAGGTGGGAATATCTAAATTAATGGTTCTTATTAGTCTGAGTAGCACCAAGTTAAAAACAAAAGAGGAATGTAAATGGGTAAAATTGATGGTAACTGCAGCCAGACAGGATATAGCGAGTAATTGGAAAAATGCAGAAGAGTTAGGGGTGAACCAATGGAGGAAAAAACCTGAATAATATTATAATTTTAGAATACCTAACTATGAAGATACACAGAATGAAAAGGTTTAAGGTCAGTGAGAAAGAGGAGGATTGGTTTGAGAAGATATTGAATTATTTGGGTAGGTTTGATCAATTTGGGGCAATTAAAATGTTAAAAGTTAAATAAACCTTGTGGATAGAGGAGTGTTAACGTATATAAAATTGTACATATGGTTGATTTGAATATGTTATTATGGTTTATGTACACCTAATGTATCAGCCGCCTGGAGGGGGTTTCACTGTTTGTGTTTTGGTTGATGGTAAAAAAATATTTATTTATTTTTTAAAAAAGAAAAGTATAAGGCTATGGGTGGCTCCTAGACAGGATAGCTTGGCTTGGCTGCCACAGTTGGAAGCTGCAGTGTTTCTGAATACCAGTTGCTGAAAACCACAGGAAGGGAGAGTTGCTCTTGTGCTCGAATCCTGCTTGCTTGTTTCCCACTGGGGCATCTGCTTGGCCACTGGGAAAACAGGATGCTAGATTAGACTGATCCAGCAGCTCTTCTTATGTTCTTATGAATGTGAACCTACACTTGTATGAATGCCTATTATTATTATTATTATTATTATTATCATCATCATTATCATCATCATTCATGTTCATTAACTCCCATCCTTCACCAGCAGGAGAGCTTAAATGTCAAACAATCCAAATGTCACAATTTAAAGCAGCTAAAACAGATCGCAATCACAGGAATGGGGTGGGCCCTAGAGACTGTTTTGGAGAAGCACACCTGCGCACATGCATTACGCATGATGCGTCCTGGCCCAAGCTATGATTACCCTGCTGCTGGACAGCTATGACTCAATGTTTTGGTTTTCAGATGGCAGGCAAACATTTGCTTTAATCCTCTGCAGCTCATTCGTGGAACCTGTTTTAATGACAGCTTGTAGTGCAACAGAAAGATTGCTTTTGAGCATGTCCAGAGCGATATTGGACTCAAGTTATAAATGTGTTATAACACTGTGAAACCAATGATGCTGTAGAGCTGAAATTGGAACTTTGAAATGTTCCATTGTGAGATTTAAAACAGTTTTTTTTAGAGTGTTGTTTTATAGCTGTGAGAAGCAGCCATTGTCTCGCGTCCGAGTACCCACAACCCAGAACTCCTCTCTATCTGACACAGGAAGGGGTGTCTTATGGGGGTGACGGGGGGCTTGTGTCAGATTGTCTGCTGGAGCACCCACACGTAAGAACAATTAGGCTTATGGGCAGCATTTGAAATTCACCAGGTGCTTTTTGCACCTGGCTATTGGCCACCTGTGACCAGATGAAGATACCCAGTTGGCGCCTGACATCTCCATCACCTGGAGCTGCTTGCTTGGGGATCCTTGGATCTTGACTGTTTTCACACTCTAGCAACACATCCTGTCGAATTCTCTCTGCGATATTTTACCTGCACAATCAGAACAAGTTTCAAGAACCAAAAAGTCATATTGACAAATACGACTTGGGAGCCGTCTGGCCCCCAAGTGGCAACTAGGCATTCTGTTTCAGCGACTGTAACTCTGGCTTAAGGAGCCATTTGGCGCCTAGTTTACCGTATATATCTGAGCCTCTTAACACTGCATGTGGGACCTCCTCAGTGGCCGTGCCCCTCCCCCATTACAGATTTCTGTTCCAGGGCCTCACCCTAATTTTAAATGGGCCTTAAAGGTAACCTCAAATTTCGGCTTAATCTAGAGGACTGATCTAGGACATCAGACGGTGTTCTTCAGAGCTGAATAGGTTATTTTTTTTGTTCGTTTGTTACGGTTGGGGTGGAATTGGGGTATTTTAATCTGGTTTTGTTGTTGGGCTTCATGTGAATGTAAGCTACTTTGGGAGGCTATTATGCCTTAAAAGCCCATTAAACAAGCTCACCTGTCTTGCCGAGACGCCTGCCTGCCTGAGTCTCTGGCTTGGAGCCAAGGGCGGTGGTGATTTTTTTCTCAGCAACAGCTCCAAGGCTTTGCTTGCGGGGTGGAGAGTCGGCGCTGCCCTTCTCCCTCTCTTTGAAGGTGCCTGGCACTCAGTATAATTATAATCACCTGGAGCTTTTAAACCGTTTGGTACATTTCCTGTGCATGTATAGTTAAACTGTGGAACTCCCTCCTGCAGCGGGTAGTGATGACCACCCACTTGGCTGGCTTCAGAGCAGGATTGGACATATTCATAGAGGAAAATAAGGCTATTGGAGGCTACTAGCCACAATGGCTCTGCTCTGACCTCCACAGCTGGAGACAGCGACTCTTCTAATGCCAGTTGCTGGAAGCTGCTGGAAAGAAAATGTTCTTGCGCTCCGTTGGCCCCTGTAAGAACAGGATGCCAGGCTAAGATGGGCCCCCTTTGGCCTGATCCAGCACGCTCTTCTTCTCTTCTTGTGTCTTTATAAACACAAGGAGATTCACTGACGACTACAATTTGGACAACTTTAAACATCTTGCAGAATGCACACTCCTCCACCCCCACCCCCAACCAGCGTGGATGTTAAACTTATGTGAAGATGGGCCATCTTAATCTGGAAAGAGGACAGAATGGAGTTTATCAGTGAATACCTACAAAAGGGGACACAGGTGGCGCTGTGGTCTAAACCACAGAGCCTAGGACTTGCCGATCAGAAGGTCGGCGGTTCGAATCCCCACAATGACGGGGTGAGCTCCCGTTGCTCGGTCCCTGCTCCTGCCCACCTAGCAGTTCGAAAGCACGTCAAAGTGCAAGTAGATAAATAGGTACCGCTCCGGCAGGAAGGTGAACAGTGTTTCCGTGCGCTGCTCTGGTTTGCCAGAAGTGGCTTAGTCATGCTGGCCACATGACCCGGAAGCTGAACGCTGGCTCCATCGGCCAATAAAGCGAGATGAGCGCTGCAACCCCAGAATTGGCCACGACTGGACCTAATGGTCAGGGCTCCCTTTACCTTTACCTACAAAAGGGACAGCGTGTGATCATTCATCCCTAGTCAGTGCAAATTTCCTTTGTGGCTCTTGATGCAGGAGCCTGCCTGCCCACCCACCAAAAAACTTTGGATGAAAAGTGCTGAAAATTTAAAAAAGTGTGTTTTGCTTTCTCTCTCTCCCCCTCTGCCCTGCTCCCCATTTTTGCAGGTAATCCCACCTGTGAGCTGCAGCCAAATTTGACCCAAAATGGCCGGCGCTTCCGTCAAAGTGGCCGTCCGGGTCCGGCCATTCAACGCCCGCGAAATCAGCCGGGACGCCAAATGTATCATTCAGATGCAGGGGAAAACAACCTGTAAGTGGCCTTGTTGGTCTGTGTGTGTGTGTGTGTGTGTGTGTCCATCTGTCTTTGAGCCTAATCGATTTTTTAGTGTGGCGGCACCTGTACTTTGGAGCTCCCTGCCGATGGATGCCAAGCAGGAACCTTCACTGTACTCTTTTTGGTGCCTGCTGAAAACATTTTTATTTAGATAAACCTGCCCTGAATGTGGATCATGTATGTTTTCATCTGTTTTTAGTTTATTGATTTATTTTATTTTTTGAATGTTGCTTTTACTGATAATTGCTGCTGTTTCAGTCTCTGCTATCCTGCGGTGTAATAATTTTGTGAAATAATAATTTTAAAAATGCGATAGTTTGGATCCCACCAAAAAGCACCCAAATCATTGGAGTTGCAGCCACGTTATGGGAAGAAGCTGTTGAAAAACAAGGAAGCCTCCTACATCCCTAACATGGAGCCAGACTATTGATCCACCAAGCTCAGTATGGGCAACACTGGCTGGCAGCACCCTTCTGGGCTTTCAGAGCCAGGGCGTGTCTCACGGCCCTCCCTGGAAATGCCATTGGGGACTTGGGCTCATTCCCTGCCTTTGCTCCCCAGGAAAAAGGCGGGTGCTCCTCTTTCTTGCCCAGGAGGCAACAAAGGGGGGGTGAGGAGTGGGGGGGTTTTGCACTTTAAATCCACCCCTCCCCCTTCTCTTGAAATTTGGTACTGCCGAGGTCAGGTGACCTATTAGGGATAATTTAACTGTGATTCCTGCATTGCTGGGGCTTGGGCCGGATGACCTTTGGGGGTCCCTTCCAGCTCTGCGGTTCCTATTTGAACAGGAGCTTTGAGCCTCCATCCGTGGGCTTCCCTCTGAACAAGCTGCCTGCTGTTTTGAGTTGCTGCTCACTTTAATTAAATCTCCCCAGAATGTCACCTGTAATGCCTGTCACATGGCCTGGCTTAATTAAATCAGTTAATCAGGGCAAAGCATTAATTGCCAAGAGCTGCCTGTACCAAGCTTCCTGAGTTCTTCTGGGACACCTCCAGCCGCAAAAGGCCTTTTTTTAATGGAGGGCGGGTGGTTTGGCTGGTCTTCTCTCTCCCCCCGCTGCATCCAACCAGCCCACTTTTCCTGCTCTGTAACTTTACGCAAAACAAAGCCCAGTTTGGAAAAAGTTTGCAACGGATCAGGAAGGGGAGGTAGAATAAAAATCACATGAGAGGGAGTCATTTTGTTAAGGCGGTGTCAGGGGACGGGGACCTTGCATTTGCTAATTTTATTAAACCTTTGAAACATCTTACAAAACCTCTTCCAAGGAGTCTTTCCGATGATAAACAACTGTCCTCTGCCGGTGAAAGGAAGTTGACGAGAAAGTTGCAGGGTGTTTTTTTTAAAAAAGCGTTATATGGGAAGAAGAATTGTGTGTGATTCTGGCTGGCTGAGCAAGTCAACAAGCCCTGGGCTTATAAAAACACCCTGGATAAACCTCTTTTGGGGCTCATTTAAGTTGAATTAATCCTGTCGCCTGGTGGTGGCTGGGAGAGGGGTGGGGAGTGGGCTTTGCGGACACGCCAGACCCTCTTCCCATCCTGTCCTTGTGCAAACAGCCCCTTCGAAGCCTACAAAATAGAAAGGACTGGCCGCTTTGCACTTTTTGAATCACTAAAAGCCATGAGAAAGGCCATGCAAAGGAACTTTCTCAAGTTCCAGTGGCCCACCTAGTCCAGCCTCCTGTTCTCTCAGATGACTCAGTGGGGAAGCCGCAGGCACAGTCGGTGCCCCAAAGCACTTTCTCCCTTCCTGTGGTTTCCAGAAACTGGAATTCGGAAGCATCGCTGCCTCCAACTGCGAAGTCAGAGCCTAGCCCTTGTGGCCAGGAGCCAGGGATAGCCCTCTCGTCCTCCATGCGTTCGTCTAATCCTCTTTTAAAGCCATACAGGTTGGTGGCCATCTCTGCCCCCAGTGGGAGGGGGTTCCACTGTTCAACTTTGCGCTGTGTGCAAAAGGACTTCCTTTTATCCGTCCTGAATCTCCCAACATTCACTGCATGTCCACCAGTTCCAGTTTTATGACAGAGAGAGAACGGAAGAAAAACTTTTCTCTAGCCACTTTCTCCTAGCTGCGGATAATTTTACAAACTTCCATCATGTTAATAAATAATACATTTTATTTATATCCCTCCCTCCCCGGCCAGAGCCGGGCTCAGAGCGGCTAACACCAATAAAATCACAGTAAAAACGTAATAGGGGAAAAAGAGAGGGGAGAAAAACCCCCAATTTAAAATACAGGTTAAAAATACAGGTTAAAATGCAATTTAAAATGCAGCCTCATTTTAAAGTAGCCGATGTTGCCTCTTACTTACCTTTCCCCTATACAGTGGTACCTCGGTTACACGCTTCAGGTTACAGATGCTTCAGGTTACAGACTCCGCTAACCCAGAAATAGTACTTCAGGTTAAGAACTTTGCTTCAGGATGAGAACAGAAATTGTGCTCCGGCGGTGCAGCAGCAGCAGGAGGCCCCATTAGCTAAAGTGTTGCTTCAGGTTAAGAACAGTTTCAGGTTAAGAACAGGCCTCCGGGACGAATTAAGTACTTAACCCGAGGTACCACTGTACTACAAAGCCCCTAGCGCTGCAACCGTTCCTCATAGGGGAGTCTCTCCAAGTACACAGCTCAGTCGGTAGAGCGTGAGACTCTTAATCTCAGGATCATGGGCCGCATGTCGGGCAAAAGATTCCTGCATTGCAGGGGGTTGGACTAGATGACCCTCGGGGTCCCTTCCAACTCTATGTGTCTTTCTCTACTGGAGGAAGAAGATGCTGACCCCAAGAGGACCTTGTCCAGATCCCGGTGCACCCTGTGCCCCAGCCTGATCTCTCTCCCTGGCCTTGGCGTTTGTCGCTGTGCCTGCCAGGCCCCCCCACCAGCTGCTTGACCCCCATCTATATTTAGCCCCGGGACAGCTGAGGGGCCCTTGTGCAGGGGGTACTTGCTGGAGGAGGAAGAGGTGTTGGTGGCCTTGGGGTGGCACGCAGGGGCATCCGGGTTTCCCACAGAGAGGAAGCCATTCCCCTTTCCCCCAACGCATTACCCCGGCCCACGGGGTGCTGAGAGGGCAGCTTCAAAGCCGCAGCTATTCGAGTTATGCAGGGAATGTTTTTTCAAGAGCTGAGGCTGAGTAACGCCACTGGGCCGGCTTTCCAAGGCGAGGAACGCAGTGCTGGTCCGTCTGTGGATTTCCTAGAGCGCACATTGAATGCAGGGGAGGGGAGACGTTGGCTGTCTTTGTTCCCTGGTGTTTTTTGTCCTGTCCTGCCCAGGGGCGGAGGAAGGCGGGTGCGGTGTGGATGGTCCGCCCCAGGTGTCACCACTGAGGGGGGTGACTGAGGGGGGCGGCACTCACTGTGGGGCCTGCAGCGTGCCCGAGCCACACATCTCTCCTGGGAGAGAGACACAGCGGTTTGGGCGTGTGCAGGCTCCGTGCTGCCCAAACGGTCCGCCCGCTGCCTCCCCCCCAGCTGTAGCGCAGCTGAGTGGGAGGAGGCAGGCAGACTCCAGAGGCCCGATGGTACGCCCCACCCCTATGGGTGGCTCGCCCCACCCCTGGGCACGCCGCGCCAGGCGCCTGAGCAGCTTCCTCCACGGCTGGTCCTGCCCTGGCTCTACTTTGAGGAAGGAAAACCTCTCAGCTTTTTGGAGAGGAAGCTTCCTTTCCCTTCCTTTCCTCCCAGATGCAACCATTGGCTGTGGTTGCTGCACTGCAGGGGGTTGGACTGGATGGTCTTTGAGGGTCCCTGTGAACTCCGTTACTCTGTTACTATAAAAGGTAAAGGTAAAGGTACCCCTGCCCGTACGGGCCAGTCTTGACAGACTCTAGGGTTGTGCGCTCATCTCACTCTAGAGGCCGGGAGCCAGCGCTGTCCGCAGACACTTCCAGGTCACGTGGCCAGCGTGACGAAGCTGCTCCGGCGAACTGGCACCAGAGCAGCACACGGAAACGCCGTTTACCTTCCCGCTAGTAAGCGGTCCCTATTTATCTACTTTCACCCGGGGGTGCTTTCGAACTGCTAGGTTGGCAGGCGCTGGGACCAAGCGCACCCCGCCGCGGGGATTCAAACTGCCGACCATGCGATCGGCAAGTCCTAGGCGCTGAGGTTTTACCCACAGCGCCACCCGCGTCCCCATCACTCTGTTACTATACTTAGAGACAAACCTCCACTCCTTAAAGGCCAACCACCAAACCCAAATACCAGAGTGAGGAGAGCCCTTGTAGTGTTTTATTATTTTTATTTTGTATTATTTATATCCTGCTTTTTCTCCAAGGAACTCAAGATTAGAGGCTTTAAAAGAGGATTGGGCAAATTCATGGAGGAGGAGAGGGCTACTGATGGCTCCCAGCCAGGGTGGTTGTGCTCCGCCTACACAATTGGAGGCACCGATGCTTCCGGACACCAGCTGCTGGAAAACGCAGGAGGAGAGAGTTGCTCTTCCGCTCGGATCCTGCTTGCGAGTTTCCAGGATGTTGGTCTAGAGGCCTGACCCAGCAGCCAGGCTCATATGCTCTTAAGATGACACCCGTGGTTCTCTCTCCCCCTCTCATCCCCCGAACAACCCTGCCAGGTAGGTTTCAGGCTGAATTGCTCTGGGCATCCATCCAACCTCTGAGCCAAGAGCGCTGTCTTCTGCGACCCAGCAGGGGGGATAAGAAGCTGCAGAGATGGAAGGGATGCAGAGGGTCATCTGGCCTGACCCCCTGCAAAATGACAGTTGCAGCCATCAATATTAGCGGTGTCTCCCCACTTACTTAACCTCTTGCACCCTCCAGGTCCACGGGGAAAGGAAGGGCAGTTAAGCCAGAGAATATGTGAAGTTGGAAGGGACCCCCAAGGTCTCCTGGTGGCGGCATAGCTAGCCGCTCAGGTGCCCGGTTCAGCGCACGCGTCCTGCAGCCGGGGGCGGGGCGGGCCAAGTGTGGTGTGACGCCCAGTGCCCCCCCCCCTCACCTTGCTACCAGTGGCATAGGAAGGTGGATGCGGGAGTTGTAGTTTTTTTTTAAAAAAAGTGTCGTGTGCCCATTTTTAAAATTTTATTTTAAAAACACATATTTCTGCCGTTTTGTCACCCCCCCCCCCCAGTGATGACACCTGGGGCACTCTGCACCCACCACACAACCCCTTCCTACGCCATTGTCTCCTGGTCCAACCCCACCCTGCAATGCAGGAATCCCGGCTAGGCCACCCGACCTCAGCAGTACCAAATCCCTAAAGTCTGGCTCTTTGGGAAACGCCCGACTCTTAAATCCTTCTTTCCTTGCAGGTATCGCCAACCCCAAACAGGCAAAAGATGCCCTCAAGAATTTCACCTTCGACTACTCCTACTGGTCTCACACATCGGTGAGTTTCTTTGGGAGGTGAGCAGGTGGGATGAGGACTGGGCGCGGAACTATTGCTGATGGCGAATTGGCAGAATGGAGTTGAAACCTAAGCTGGCCTTCCGCAAGCAGGTGCCGCCTGGGTGTTCTGGACTGCAAGTCCCACCAGCACCATAAGGCTGTACTGGCTGGGGATGGTGATGGGAGTTGTAGTGCAGAACTTTGGGGAGGCTGGCTGAGGACGGCTCCAGCCCCTTGGGATTGGGGGCCAGGAGGAAGGTGGCATTGGTGGTTGTAGCCCCTTGAACCTGGTGCAAGGCTTGGCGGGGGTTTATTGGTTATAAGGAAATTCAAGGAAAGACTATCAGCATTCTCATATCATCAAGTTTAGTTCCAATATGGCAGACTTGCAATGAAGGTTGTTTTGAAAATGATGGTTCCACTGCATATGTCATAAAGGAATGCCAAACCATATAAAAAGTGTCAGGAGGTTGTAGACCTTGTTGAAATCTCAAATTATGCGTAATTTTCTCCTTTGCAGCGTCCAAGTGTAAGATTTGGGGCTGTTTTCCATATTTCATGTACTGCATAAGACCAATTCTTTTGACAACATATCTACATTGGTATCATCAGAAATGTTCAGTGGCGTTAATTTTGGACAACAGACAACAGTTTTCTTAGTAATATTTATTGTTCTTGTCAAATCCCAAAAACCTTGCTCCAGCCAGCATCGCCACCATACATGCACCAAGTTTATTGCAACCTCTCCGATTAGGTGATACAGAAGAAAACATTTCTGGCATTTGCAAAGAGGTGCGATGCCATCTGTGTGGAGATTTCAACGAGTCCCACCCCCCACCCCCAAAAAACCCCTGGAAACAGATTTTAAGGGCCGCGGCCGCCAGATTCTGTTCCAGATCTTGGGAAGGTTTTGTGTGTTGACGCCTCGTTCCCCCGTTTTTCTAAGGTGTTGCACTCGGTGCAGTGCTGGCTTTTCCTTTTCCCTTCCAGGAGGAGGACCCCAACTTTGCTTCCCAGAGGCAGGTCTACAAGGACATCGGGGAGGAGATGCTCCTTCACTCTTTCGAGGGCTACAACGTCTGCATCTTCGCCTACGGGCAGACGGGCGGCGGCAAGTCCTACACCATGATGGGCAAGCAGGAGAAGGACCAGCAAGGCATCATCCCTCAGGTGGGCCCCGGGGTCTGTGGGGCCAGGGCCTGGAGGGAGAGGCGGAATGGCGTGCGGGAGCCCCAGGATCGTTATAGCATAGAAACACAGAATTGTAGCATTGGAAGGGACCCAATGGGTCATCTGGTTTAACCTGTTGCAGTGCAGAAATCACACCTAAGGGACAGCTGAGCGTTCTAACCACTAGGCCAAATAAGTTGCACTCCGCTCCCCTGAAATGAGTGGCAAGGCACCGAGAAGAGGAGGCAATAATGGTGAAATGACCAAAAGGCTGCTTTACGTCCTTGTTGTTGTTTAGTCGTTTAGTGGTTTCCGCCTCTTTGTGACCCCCTGGACCAGATCACGCCAGGCACTCCTGTCTTCCACTGCCTCCCGCAGTTTGGTCAGACTCATGCTGGTGGCTTCGAGGACACTGTCCCACCATCTCGTCCTCCGTCGTCCCCTTCTCCTTGTGCCCTCCATCTTTCCCAGCATCAGGGTCTTTTCCAGGGAGTCTTCTCTTCTCATGAGGTGGCCAAAGTCTTGGAGCCTCAGCTTCAGGATCTGTCCTTCCAGTGAGCACTCATGGTTGATTTCCTTCAGAATGGAGAGGTTTGATCTCCTTGCAGTCCATGGGACTCTCAAGAGTCTCCTCCAGCAGGTTTACATCCTAGTTTCAGCAAATACATGGCGTACAATACTAACCCGTACCCTGAAACAAACAGCCACCCCTGCCTGGCTGAATTGAAGCCTGGTCCACCGTGGTTCCCCCTGGGGTGCGGCTGGGGCGTCTCACCTCCTCCGCCTCTGTTTCCCCCCTCTAGCTCTGCGAAGACCTCTTTGCCCGAGTGAACGAGAACAAATGCCCCAACCTCTCCTACTCCGTGGAGGTAAGTCCTTCCCACTTCCCCACCTGACCCTTGTGCCCCTCGTCTCCGCTGCCCTTCCCGGCTGGCCGGCTGCGCCCTTTCACAGCCTGCCCCTCCCGCCTTGCCCGCTTTCCCAGGTGAGCTACATGGAAATCTACTGCGAGCGCGTGCGCGACCTCCTCAACCCCAAGAGCCGCGGGAACCTCCGCGTGCGGGAACACCCCATCATGGGTCCTTACGTCGAAGATCTCTCCAAGCTGGCCGTCACCTCCTACGAAGACATTGCCGACCTCATGGACTGCGGCAACAAAGCCAGGTATGCCTCTGTGGACCGGGGAGCTGCCTCGCCACGGAAAGGGTGTTGGGGAGCCGGGAAAGGGCGACCGGAACGATAGAGGGGGCGGTGGTGGAGTGACGGCCCCAGGAGGAAAGGTTGCAGGGCCTCGGACTTTTCAGCGAGTGAGAAGCAACACGATGGAAGTTTATAAAACCATGCCTGGCATGGGAGAAACCGGACAGAGGAAAGTTTTTCTGCCTCTCTCCCAACACTAGAACTGGGTGGACGCCCCATGAAGGTTGGGAGATTCACGGTGGGTAAAAAGGAAGTCCTTCTTCATGCAGCACAAACTGTGGAACTCCTTGCCACAGGAGGCAGGGGTGGCCAACCACTTGGATGGCTTGAAAAGAGACAGATTCGAGGGGGAGAGGGCTATCGATGGCTACTGGCCAGGATGGTTCTGCTCTGCCACCACAGTCCAGTTGCTGGAAATGGCAGGAAGAGAGAGTCTTGTGCTCAGATGCTGCTTGCTGGTTTATTCTATTGGGCATCAGGTTGGCCACTGTGGGAGCAGGAGGCTGAACTGGGTGGGCCCCTTCGGCCTGATCCAACAGGCTGTCCTTATGAGCAGGGCCCCCAGAACATAAGGAGAGGCTCCTGGATCAGGCCAAAGGGGGGGGGGCATCTACTCAAGCACCCTGTTCTCACAGAGACCAGCCAGGAAACCCACAAGCAGGATTCGAACGCAAGAGCCATTCTCCCCTCCTGTGGTTTCAAGCAACTGGGATTCAGAAGGCTCGCTTCCTCAGACCATGGAGACTGAGCAAAGCCATCCTGGCTAGTGGCCATCAAGAGCCCTCTCCGAACCTGTTGGTGGCCTTGGTACTGCATTGGGCCACGGCTGGACCTTTTATGTGGGTAGTTGTGGCTTTCGCCTCTTCGCTATGAGAGGAAGGCGATGGGGCTTAGCGGAGGGACCCTGAACCAAGATATCCCTGGCTTCTTTTGGAACCAAAAGGAAGATTTCAAGTGACATGGTACCTAAGAGAAGGCGGTGAGGCTGGATCTGTGGCTGGTTAGGTGGAGGGACTCAGAATTGTAAAGTTGGATGGGATCCCCAAGGGTCATCTAGCCCAACCCCCTGCTGCAGTGCAGGAACCACGGCTCCAGAATCCCACCCTACCTCTGCTTAGAAACCTCCAAGGAAGGAGAGTCTGCCACCATCCAAGGTGGAAATGCTCAGTCCTCTCTCTCTCTCTCACACCTTAATATCCTTCCCTGTTCCCAGGACTGTCGCAGCCACCAACATGAACGAAACCAGCAGCCGCTCCCATGCCGTTTTCACCATCGTGTTCACGCAGCGCCGCCACGACGAACTCACAGACCTCGACACAGAGAAGGTGAGGTGCCTGCAGCCTTGGGGGGCAGGAGGGAGCAGAGCCTTCAGGGCTATGAGCAAACTGTACTCCTGCTACTCGCCTGTAGCAGACAGGCGGCCTGCTCCTGCTCTTTCTTCTGCCACGTTGACAGCTGTGCATTGCCTACAGCTTCGTGCCCAGGCCCCCATTTCTCTCAGCTCGGTGGCAGCCGTGTGGTGTAGAATCATAGAATCTTAGAGTTGGAAGGGACCCTGAAGGTCCTCTAGTCCAACCCCCCGTGATGCAGGAATCTCAGCTAAAGCAGCCATCAGCCTCTACATTGGCTCCCAGTACGTTTCCGAGCACAATTCAAAGTGTTGGTGCTGACCTTGAAAGCCCCAAACGGCCTCAAAGGCCCAGTATACCTGAGGTCCAGCGCCGAGGGCCTTCTGGTGGTTCCCTCCCTGCAAGAAGTGAGGTTACAGGGACCAGGCACAGGGCCTTTTCGGTGGTGGTGCCTTCCCTGTGGAACACCCTCCCACCAGATGTCAAGGAAATAAACAACTACCTGACTTTTAGAAGACATCTGAAGGCAGCGTTGTTCAGGGAGTGTGTGACATTTTAATGTATTTTTAATCTTTGTTGGAAGCTATCCAGAGTGGCTGGGGAAACCCAGCCAGATGGGCGGGGTACAAATAATAAATTATTATTATTATTATCAAATGAGAGAGGGTCCACAACCTCCCGAGGGACTCCACATCTATAAGGGAAGAAAATATACCCGTTTCTCTGCTGTTGTCTCCTCCTTTGATTCAGCATCTGGGACAAGAACGGAGAAAGGGGGTCCTGATCCCAAGTACATACAGCAGCACGGAACAAGGGAGGAAAGCCTCTCTTTCTTTCTTTCTTTCTTTCTTTCTTTCTTTCTTTCTTTCTTTCTTTCCTATCTGGGTCCCTTCTTTTCAGGTCAGCAAAATCAGCCTGGTGGACCTGGCAGGGAGCGAGCGGGCGGATTCGTCAGGAGCCAAGGGCACGAGGCTAAAGGTGAGTGCTCCGCCTGGCATGCCGAGAAGCCGCCATCTTGGCAACCTACAGCAGTGGTTGCCAAAGTGGGTGGTTCCCCTCTCTGGGGTGGGCGGTGGTATTATCTAGGGGGGATGCTAAGAAGCAAGAGGACTGTGACTACCAGACTTTGCAAAGCTGGCATCGCCAGGTCAAGTTTGCTGAATTAATGGAGCTAAGTTGTATTATCTGGGTTCTGAATATATGGGCAATTATCTGTTGCTGCTTTGCCTTTTGTAAGGTTATTATTTTCCTCAGTCGGTTATGCAAACCGCTGTTCTGAATAATGCTTTCTTTATAGGGCAGGGGAGGGGGCACTGGGGGCGGGTATATGGAACCAGGAGGGTAGTGGAGTTCCTAAAAGGTTTGGGAACTGCTGGGCTAGAGTAAGCCTCCCCTGACAATGGGGTGCATGTGTGCCAGAGGGGGAGTGTGTGTGTGTGTGAGAGACAGAGAGACAGAGAGAGAGAGAGAACAACAAGAGAAAGAAGGGGGAGTGTGTGTGTGAGAGAGACAGAGACAGAGACTGGAAGACACAGACAGACAGACAGACAGACAGACAGACAGACAGACAGAGTTAATTCTAACAAGTTAGCTGTGATTCCTGCATTGCAGCTCTACAATTCTAAAATTCTGTAAGTTATTTTCACCCACTTTTTCAGGAAGGCGCCAACATCAACAAATCTCTGACCACCCTGGGCAAAGTTATCTCCGCGCTGGCAGAGATGGTGAGTGACCTTTTGGGGGGGTCCTTCTTCTTCGGGGTTCCAGGCTTAACTCGTTTTTAGTCTTATTTTTATTTTAACATCCAAAGGCTTTAATCATCGATGCAATCCTTTCCCAGTGGCAATTTCATTCCTTTTTCTTTTTGTTTTTTTTGGGTACACTGCTCTTTTTTCACAAAATCAAACAGTGTATTAAATTTTACGAAATAAGTAAAAGCAATACCTGGAATGCATTTATTTAAAAAACCAGTAGCTTGTAAATAACCGTATGTATTATTATCCAGATTCGTATGTAAATAACCACATATGAATCTGGATAATAATAACACCTAGTATACTGGGACGTGGGTGGTGCTGTGGGTTAAACCACAGAGCCTAGGGCTTGCCAATTAGAAGGTTGGCGGTTCGAATCCCCGCAATGGGGTGAGCTCCCGTTGCTCGGTCCCTGCTCCTGCCCACCTAGCAGTTCGAAAGCACGTCAAAGTGCAAGTAGATCAATAGGTACCACTCCGGCGGGAAGGTAAGCAGCGTTTCCGTGCACTGCTCTGGTTCGCCAGAAGCGGATTAATCATGCTGGCCATAGGACCCAGAAGCTGCACGCTGGCTCCCTCGGCCAATAAAGCGAGATGAGCGCCACAACCCCAGAGTCGGCCACGACTGAACCTAATGGTCAGGGGTCCCTTTACCTTTACTACCTGTATACTAGAGAAGCATCTATATGGAATTGTAGTCATTTGCGTAAAATTGCATAATTGTAGTTGTTTGCATATAAAGTGTTAATAATACACATTTCCCCTTTTTTATTTATTCCCCTTTTAAAGATTATTATTAATAAAAATGCAAAATAAATAAAAACAGGGGGCAGGCGGTGTTATTGGACGGGGCGGAGGGCAAAGAGAGGAATCGTCCCCCCTTTTTTCACCTGCCTCCCTCCTTCTTGACCCCCCCCCCAGCAAAACAACAAGAAAAAGAAGTCTGAGTTCATCCCCTATCGTGACTCGGTGCTCACTTGGCTGCTGAAAGAGAACTTGGGTGAGTTTTTGGGGTTGGGATGTGGGGCAAAGTGTGGGGAAGAGGCGGGAGGTGTAAGGAGCTGGAAAGCAGCTAGAGATGACTTTGGATGGATTTAACTTTTTAAATAAATTAAAAAAAAACAGCCTCCCATCTACGACCCTAGATTGGAGGAGAGAAAGGTTCCCTGGTTTTGGGAGCCTCTGTTGCCGGTGGTGGTGAATAGGGGTTAGAGGGTCAGGACTAGGATCTGAGAGAGACCAGGGTTTAGGTCCTCCCCCCCCCCCCACGGCGGCCCTGAAGCTCCCTGAGGGTGACCTTGAGTTGCGACCAGTCTTCTCTCAGCCTAGCCTACCTGGCAGGGCTGTTGTGGAGATTAAATGAGGAGGTGGGGAGAACCATGTGCAGGTCAAAATGAGCTCCTTGAAGGGAAAGGTGGCATGTAAATGAGACAGAGGGGTAGATATAAACTGGGGGCGGGGGGACGCTGCTCCTGTAGGGTTGGAGATACAGTGGTGCCTTGCAAGACGAAATTAATTCGTTCTGCGAGTTTTTTCGCCTCGCGAATTTTTCGTCTTGGGAAGCATGGTTTCCCATAGGAATGCATTGAAAATCCAAAAGGAAACAAACTTGCAAGACGTTTTCGTCTTGCAAAGCAAGCCCATAGGGAAATTCGTCTTGCGAAGCAACTCAAAAAACGAAAAACTCTTTCGTCTTGCGAGGCATTCGTCTTGCGAGGCACCACTGTAATACGTTTCCGTGTTCTCTGCCATTTTTCCTGCGGATTTCTAAAAATGTAGGAGCCTTTGCATATGATCTGTTTGCTTTCTTGGCCTTTCACAAAGGGTGGGGGGATAAACTAGGAAGTAGAAGCACTTCCAGTCCACCCTCCTCCCCTCCATCTACTCTCTCTCCCCTCCTTTTTTATTTCTCAGGGGGCAATTCCCGCACAGCCATGATTGCTGCCCTCAGCCCGGCTGACATCAACTATGAGGAGACACTGAGCACCCTCCGGTGAGCTGAAGAAGCAGATAAATTGGGGTGGGGGGTGGGCAGCTCTTGTCCCATTCTGTTCCCCCTGCCCACCTCCTTCCTGGTGTAGCCAGAGAGTTTCCCCTCCATTTGGGGGTCAAAGACCACAGCAGCCCAGATATGCCCTTGCTGTTTCTTTCTCTTACACGCTCGTCTTCCCATCAAAGAATCATAGAATTGTAGGGGGGGTGGAGAAGAGCTGTACACCACTTTGAACTCCTCAGAGAAAAAGGTAGGAGATAAATGCAATAAATAAATAAACACCCCGACTTCCCCCCCCATCCAGTTATGCCGACCGCACCAAGCAGATTCGCTGCAATGCCGTCATCAACGAAGATCCCAACGCCCGCCTCATCCGGGAGCTCAAAGAGGAGGTGGCCAGGCTCCGAGACCTCCTCTCTGCCCAGGGGCTCTCGGCCACCACCTTCGCTGGTAAGGGGGCAGGAGAGTGCCCCAGAGGAAGGGAGGGTAGGAGGTGAAGTCTGAGTGCTGGGGATTTAGCTCCTGCCATATAGGCAAGGGACGCGGGTGGTGCTGTGAGTTAAACCACAGAGCCTAGGACTTGCCGATCAGAAGGTCGGCGGTTCGAATCCCCGCAACGGGGTGAGCTCCCGTTGCTCGGTCCCTGCTCCTGCCCACCTAGCAGTTCGAAAGCACGTTAAAGTGCAAGTAGATGAATAGGTACCGCTCTGGTGGGAAGGTAAACGGCGTTTCCGTGCGCTGCTCTGGTTCACCAGAAGCGGCTTAGTCCTGCTGGCCACATGACCCGGAAGCTGTACGCCAGCTCCCTTGGCCAATAAAGCGAGATGAGCGTCACAACCCCAGAATCGGCCACGACTGGACCTAATGGTCAGGGGTCCCTTTACCTATATAGGCAAGAAGCCAAGGCAAGTTCCCCGGTATTCTTCCATCAGGGTAGACGTTACACGAGGAAAGGGTGTGGGGGGGATGAGGAAAAAGGAATGAGGCTGATGTTGCAGCCTTGAGAACAGCTTGCAAACTCCCAAGTCCTGCAGATGATTTCAGGTGACACACCTAGGATTCTGGGGTAGAGAAGCTACTAGCCACAGTGGCTAAGTTCTGCCTCCACATTTGGAGGCAGCCGTGTATCCCATTGCCAGATGTTGGAAACCCCAGGAGGGGAGAGCGACTCTTCTGCCTGGATCCCATAATAGGCACCTGGCTGGCCACAGAGAGAACAGGATGCAGGACTTTCGGCCTGATCCAGCAGACTCTTCTTATTCTCTTAAGCAATTTCTGCTCTTCCTTCTCTGACAGATTGAAATAATAGAGCGGCAGAGTTGGACGGGTCCCCCAAGGGTCATCCAGCCCAACCCACTGCAGTGCCGCAATTGCAGCTAAGGAAGGAAGGAGGAAGGGGGCGCAATGGCTGGCTCCCTGTGTGCCTGATGGTGATGTGTTTCCCACTCTGCAGGTGCCAAACCTGATGACCCGGGGGGCGGACTGGGCCTCCCCATCTCTCCCTTTGCCCCGAGTGAGGACTCCTCCCTCCTCCTGGAGCCCCTGCCCCTCAATGGGGAGTCTGAGTCGTACCCCGACATGGAGGAGGAGATGATTTGCACAGAAGAGGCCATGGAGAGGCTCCAGGTGAGATTGGGGGGCAGGCGCTTATCTCCAAACCACTCGGAAAGGGGGACTTGCATCTAACTAGCCTGCCCCAGGGAAAAGCCCCAGGCTTGGGTTAGCTGGGGAGGGGGCAGCGCGTCTTGAAGTGAGCTTACAGGGAACCAGGCAGAGGGCCTTCTTGGTAGTGGCACCTGCCCTGTGGAACGCCCTCGCACCAGATGTCAAGGCAATAAACAACTATTTTACTTTTAAAAGACAACTGAAGGTGGCCCTGTTTAGGGAAGTTTTGAATGTCTGATGCTGTATTGTTTTTAATATTCGGTTGGAAGCCACCCAGAGTGGCTGGAGAAACCCAGCCAGATGGGCGGGGTATAAATAATAATAATTATCATTATCATTATTATTATTATTATTGCTCTTCCTCCAACCCCTCACACACACAAACACACAGTCAAGTGACCCAGTTGCCTCAACTGTTCCTCCCAAGGCTTGGTTTCCAGACCCTCAATTATCTCGGTCACCCTCCGTCCTCTCACCAAAGGCTTGGGCTGGCTTTCTAGGTGGTCATGAGCTGAGGGTCCTCATTCCCACTTGTGTCCCATCAGACCAGCACATCTTCAAGCCTTTAGCCATTTCCCCACATTCTGCCGTTTTGAGCTTCTCCAATTCAGCGTCACTCGTGGCAGAAACACTCTCTCACTGCGACCTGCGGCCTCGTCTTTTCTGCACCACAGCCACTCGCTTATAACGGGCCGTAGGGAGTAGTTGGGCGGGGAATGGTGGTAAACAGAGCGGCTTTCCTCGCCTGTGCCCTGAGTTGCTCCCCTGTCCTCGTAGGAGACGGAAAAGATCATCGCGGAGCTCAACGAGACGTGGGAGGAAAAGCTGCGGAAAACAGAGGCCATCCGGATGGAGCGGTGAGTGGGATAAGCCCCTCTGGCACGGGGGTCTCCCTTGCAAATCCCCCCCTCCCCAAGCAAGAATGCTCGCTTGTATCCGAGCAGCATGTAGTCTCTTTCCCTCAAGGAATGTAGTGGGTGCAAATATACTGGCTGGGGTGGGAAGGAGTTATAGTTCCAAACAGCTGGAGGGCGCCAGGTTGGCCAAGGCTGTTGTAGGCAGACAAGGTGGTGTTTAGCTGAGTTTTGTTTTATCATTGATTCGTTTTGTCGTGTTTACACCCCTCCTTCTTTCTCCAACGAGCACAAAGTGGCCTGGACTCGTAATCTGGGGAACCGGGTTCGAGTCTCCGCTCCTCCACCTGCAGCTGCTGGGTGACCTTGGGCCAGTCACACTTCTCTGAAGTCTCTCAGCCCCACTCACCTCACAGGGTGTTTGTTGTGGGGCAGGAAGGGAAAGGAGATTGCTAGCCGCTTTGAGACTCCTTAAAGGGAGTGAAAGGCGGGATATCAAATCCAAACTCCTCCTCTTCCTCTTCTTCTTCTTCTTCTTCTTCCCTTCTCCCCTTCCTTCTCATTTAATCCCCCAAATATCAACCCTGTGAGGAAGGTTAAGCTGAGAGAAAACAGTGACTGGCACCCAAAGTCACTGTCCAGTGAGCTTCATGGCCAAGTCGGAGGATTTGAACCCTGGTCCTCTCCCAGGTCCTAGTCCAACAACATCACCACTACACTGCCACGGACTCAGCGAGTAGACACATTGAAATCCATTGATACAACTTAGTCACGTTGCTTATTTTTAATGGGCCTACTCTGACAAAAAACTCGAGTTGAATACTACCCACAGATATTAGCATGAAATAATTCTTCAAGCCCTTTCTGGCTGTGAAAATGGGGAATGGAAGCCCTTTGAGCACCAGCGGATGAATCATGCAAAGCCAAAAAGTGACATGAGCCAAACTACCGAGATAGACTGCCTCTGGACCTGGAGGTTCTGAAAGGCCCATGCACTCCAGTATCCTGTTCTCACAGTGGCCAAGCAGACGCCTGTGGGAAGCCTGCAGGCAGGATCCGAGCACAAGAGCAACTCTCCGTTCCTGCGGTTTCCAGCAACTGGTGTTCAGGAGTATCGCTGCCTCCAGAGCCACCATGACAAATAGCCCTCCTCCTCCTCCTCCATCAATTTGTTCCGTCCTCTTTTCAAGCCATCCATTTTGGTGGCCATCCCTGCCTCCTGTGGCAGGGAGTTCCAAAGTTCAACTACATGCTGCATGAAGAAGGACTTCCTTTCACGCGTCCTGAATCTTCCAACCTTTATTGGTTCATTCCTTTGATTCTCGCACAACCAGACACACACACAGGGCAGCCCTGCCCCTTTGAGAACTGCTGAAATGTTGAACCCGTCCCCATCTGAAACCTGCCTGTCTGTCTCCCTTTTCTCCCTGCAGAGAGGCTCTCCTGGCAGAGATGGGTGTGGCTCTCCGGGAGGATGGGGGCACTGTGGGGGTCTTTTCCCCCAAGAAGGTAAGCATTGGTGTTGCAGTGACAGGCGTCCGTAGGCTTCACTGGGCACGGCTGGTGGGGTGAGGCCTGCGACTTGCCAAAGCCAGCAGAGGGGGCTCAGTCTTTCCCCATTTAAGCAAAAGCTTCCCAGGGTCTCCTGGGATGGAGCTGGGGTGGGGGGAGTCTTTTTCTATTGCCTGAGCCAGGGGTCAGCAAACTTTTTCAGCAGGGGGCCAGTCCACTGTCCCTCAGACCTTGGTGGGGGGGCCGGACTGGATTTTTTTGGGGGGAAATGAACGGATTCCTATGCCCCACAAATAACCCAGAGATGCATTTTAAATAAAAGCACACATTCTACTCACGTAAAAACACACTGTCTGTGGGCTGGATTTAGAAGGCGATTGGGCCGGATCCGGCCCCTGGGCCTTAGTTTGCCTACCCATGGAATCTGAGCCCTGTTGAAACCATCTCAGGAGCAAACATTCCACAAATCCTGAACGGAGTCCCTAAGGCGGTTGGATGGCGCCTTCTACGCCTCCTTCTAGCAATTCCTGCAGCCAAATTTGTGCCCAGCGTCTTGCTCTGCTTTCCTTTGGACCCCCTCAACGAGGCTGAGAGCAAGGCCTTGTTGTTTGGGCAGCCCTGGTCCCCCACATATACTGCCCAGGCCTGCACCACTTGGGTGCTGCTAACAGAGCAAAAGCAACATGGCAAGCAACATTCATGAGATCCCAGTCTCTGCAGCCACAGCAGGCGCTGTGATTCTCCAGCAGTTTGACTTCACCCCTGGAGGTGCACTCCATTGTGTCTCGAGACAGACAGGTGCCGTAATTTCAGAGATAGGGACAGCTGCCTATTCCTGCATTGGACTGGGCGATCCTCAGGACCCCGTCCAATTTTATGCTTCTGTGAAATCAGCCTGTGGGAGGGTTTGCTGACCAGCTTAGTATCTTCCCTCTGTGTGTGTGTGTGTTTGCAAGCAATGGCCACAAGGTGGTGCCAGTTTCTCCCAGCTGATGCATTTGCAGCAGGCAGCTCTGGTCTGGGCAGTGGTTTTTAAAAGCCACTGGTGTGAAAATGCACCCTTTTGTTCTGCCCACAAGGGGGCAGCACCACCGTTCTTTCTCCCTCCTGGCCTCCTCCTGACATAAGAGCCCAGCTGGATCAGGTCCACAGGGGCCCGTCCAGTCCAGCATCCTGTCCTCACAGTGGCCAACCAGATGCCCCAATGAGGAACCCGCAAACAGGATTCGAGCATAAGAGCAACTCTCCCCTCCTGCAGTTTCCAGCAACTTGCGTTCAGAAGCATTGCTCCTGGTCCTGAATGTCTCCCTGGTCCTGAATGGGGCAGCTGTGCCCCTGAAGGACCAGGTGCGCAGCCTGGGAGTCATTCTGGACTCACCGCGGTCCATGGAGGCGCAGGTCAATTCTGTGTCCAGGGCAGCTCCATCTGGTACGCAGGATGAGACCCTACCTGCCCGCGGACTGTCTCTCCAGAGTGGTACATGCTCTAGTTATCTCAAGCTTGGACTACTGCCATGCGCTCTACATGGAGCTACCTTTGAAGGTGACTCGGAAACTGCAATGAATCCAGAATGTGGCAGCTACACTGGTGACTGGGAGCAGCCGCCAAGACCACATAACACCAGTCTTGAAAGACTGGCTCCCAGTATGTTTCCAAGCACAATTCAAAGTGTTGGTGCTGACCTATATAGCCCTAAATGGCCTCAAAGGCCCAGTAGACCTGAAGGAGTGTCTCCACCCCCACCTTTCGGCCCGGACACTGAGATCCAGCGCCGAGGGCCTTCTGGTGGTTCTCTCATTTTGAGAAATGCGGTTAGAGGGAACCAGGCACAGGGCCTTCTTGATAGTGGCACCCGCCCTGTGGAACACCCTCCCATCAGATGTCAAGGAAATAAGCAGCTATCTTATTTTTAAAAGCCGTCTGAAGGCAGCCCTGTTTAGGGAAGCTTTTAATATTTAACGCTGTACGGTTTTTAACACTTGATTGGGAGCCGCCCAGAGTGGCTGGGGAAACTCAGCCAGATGGGAGGAGTATAAATAATAAATTATTATTATTATTATTATTATTATTATTATTATTATTATTATTATTGCTGCCTCCAACTATTGGGCATTGAAACATGTCGCAGAGTGCGTGCAGAGTGGCCCACACAGATGGAAACATTGAAGAGACACAAATAAATCTTTGCAAGGTTTAATAACAACTTCCCAAACATGCATCTTACATAGTGTCTATAATCGTCGCCCGTCTATCCACCAGGGCAGAGTAAGGTACATATTGCACATTATATTCACAATTGCTGACACAGCTAATTACAGTGACTTATCAGCACCTTTCACACAGCTGTAAAAACTAGGTCAGGATATGCACCCTGGCTTTTCAAGTGAAACAATAATGAACCCTAACATTTAAACAAACTATTCAGCACCGACTGTGGAGAGCAGGGCATAGGGCCGTATGAAGGAGGGCTTCCATTGATCTCTGCCTGCCTCTTGTCTTAACGCAGACTCCGCACCTGGTGAACTTGAATGAGGATCCACTGATGTCGGAGTGCCTCCTCTACCACATCAAGGACGGCATCACCCGGTGAGGCCCTCAGGGCTGTGGCGGGTTTGTGGGACGGAGAGGCGAAAGGGGTCCTTCTGAGCTGATCCTTATTCATATTACTAATTAATTAAAGTTGTAATCGTACGAAGAGCCCAGGGCAGCTCGCAACAAAAAACATCTCCGTCTCTCTCCCTTTCTCCCTCTCTCCGGGGACCCTTCCTTCTCCCCCTGCAGAGTTGGCCAGCAGAACGTGGACATCAAACTGACAGGGCAGTTCATCAGAGAGCAGCATTGTGTCTTTTGCAGCGTCACCAACGAGTCTGGAGAAGGTGAGCCGGGTGGTTTAAGGAGCACAGGCACCTTCGAGAAGTTGGAGGGTCGCCTCCCTTTGGGATCCCGAGTTCCTTTTCTGTAATAACTCCTCCTCCTCCTCCTCTCCCATTTCTTTTGTGCTTGCGTGGAGCAGGGGGGCCTCGCCGTGGGGCCACATGCCAACAGGTACTGGGGTGTCTGTGGGTCCTGGCAGGGGTGCGGGGAGGTGCCAGCGTGTGGGTCCGCTGACCTGGGGGCCTGAGCTGCGGGCCCCCGTCTCCTGCCTCCCACCCTCTCAGTCTCTCATGCTGTACGTCAGTGATTCCCAAAGCAGGAGGACTTAATGGTGGGAAGCAGCGCTAAGGGGCAAGAGAGTGGCAGGGTGGGGGCCACTGGAGGTGTAAATGGCTACCAGACCTTGAGAAGCCAGTATCCCTGGGCCATGTTCACTAGTTTGGTGAGTTTAGGAAACCAAATAAGAAAGAAAAAAAAGGAAACCAAATAAGAAAAAGAAAGTAAGTAAAAACTTTCTGACAAGTAAGAGCTGTTTGGCTGTGGAAAGGACTCCCTTGGGAAGTTGTGGACTCTCCTTCCTTGGAGGTTTCTGAGCAGAGGTTAAGCAGTCTATCTCAGATGCTTTAGTTGAGATTCCTGCATTGCAGGGGAAAGGATTAGATGATTCCATGTAGTAGTTTTATAGAATCATCTTCACTATTATAAATTATGAAATGTGTAGGCCAACCCTCAGCCAACGACCACAGGGCAGTTAGCAATACGAAACGAGAACAAAGAGTAATAACCATGGAATTGTAGAGTTGGCAGGGACCCCCAGGGGTCATCTAGCCCAGCCCCATGCAGTGCAGGAATCCCAGCTGACAGCCTGACATCATCTGCCAGTGTGGTGTAGTGGTTAAGAGTGGTAGTCTCGTAATCTGGGGAACCGGGTTCGCGTCTCCGCTCCTCCACCTGCAGCTGCTGGGTGACATTGGGCCAGTCACACTTCTCTGAAGTCTCTCAGCCCCACTCACCTCACAGAGTGTTTGCTGTGGGGGAGGAAGGGAAAGGAGAATGTTAGCCGCTTTGAGACTCCTTTGGGTAGTGATAAAGCGGGGTATCAAATCCAAACTCCTCTTCTTCTTCATCTGCTCAGAAACCTCCCAGCGGAGGAGACCTATACCACTGCCTCTTACTGTCAGAAAGTTCCTCCCAATTGGCTTTCGAATGTCACGCTTTCGAATTTTATCTTCCTTAGTGGGTCATGCAAACCGCTCTTCTGAGCAACGCTTATTTTATAGGGTAGGGGCCCCTGGGGGTGAGTTTATAGAGTCAGGGAGCCCATTGGAATAGGTGCTCCTGTTTTTTCCGATCTCACATCCCAGTGGGGTCTTTTCCCCCTAGCAAAGCAACCCCAGAAGGCCTGGGGACTTGGGGGGCAGGAGTAGAGAGGGTGCTAGCGGGTGCTGCGTGGTTCCTTACCACCACCACCCAGCCCACCCTTTCCGGGGAAGTGTGCCCTAATCTTTGCCTCCCCCTCCTCCCTCCTTCAGTGGTTGTCACCCTGGAGCCGCGCGAAGGTGCTGAGACCTACGTCAACGGGAAGCAGGTGCTGGAGCCGCTGGTGCTGAGATCAGGTCAGCTTTTCCCAAGTGGTGCAGTGAGCAATAGGCTCGATTTACCAGTTGCATTGTTGGAATTCTGTGCTGCTTTCCAATCAAACGAACCCCGAAGCGGCTTGCAAACAATAAATGACAATAACGGAATGGTATAAATCACACAGTGCAATTAACGAATCATCAGTCAAACCATTGCTAACTATAAAACACTGTTTGCAAACCGGCAGCTAAAAAATAAGCTGAACGTACCAATTACAGCATATGTCATATTAGCTGGTTCACAAATCAAAAAGGCATTTATAATGTATAAAACAGTATTTACAAGATGACAACTAAAAAATAAGCTAGACACACACACATATCTCATTCTTGCAATGACTCATAATATTTCACTATGTTCATTAAAATGCACCTAAACATCCATCAAAGGGTAATAAGAAATTGAAATTAATTGAAATTGAAATACTTTATTGTCACTTGTATACAGTGAGATTGTTAAGGGACACGGGTGGCACTGTGGGTTAAAACACAGAGCCTAGGGCTTGCCAATCAGAAGGTCGGGGGTTCGAATCCCCGCGATGGGGTGAGCTCCTGTCGCTCGGTCCCTGCTCCTGCCAACCTGGCAGTTCGAAAGCACGTCAAAGTGCAAGCAGATAAATAGGTACCACTCCGGCGGGAAGGTAAACGGCGTTTCCGTGCGCTGCTCTGGTTCGCCAGAAGCGGCTTAGTCCTGCTGGCCACATGACCCGGAAGCTGTATGCCGGCTCCCTCGGCCAATAAAGCGAGATGAGTGCTGCAACCCCAGAGTCGGCCACGACTGGACCTGATGGTCAGGGGTCCCTTTACCATTACCTTTAAACATCCATCAAATGGGAGGATCCTGATCTAAACAGAGCAGAATTGTGCCTCCCTTCCCGCAAGACTCTCCTTGGGCCCATCTGTGTGTGCGACGTGTTTGTGCAGGAAAAACATGCCCCAAAGCCAGAGGTGGTGCAGCACTTATGAGAGTGTTGCGTTACAGGAACCCGGGAGAGACCAGGGTTCAAATCTCCCCACTTGGCCATGAAACTCACCTTGGGGGCCGGTCACTTGCTCACAGTCTAACCTACCTTGCAGGGTTATGGGGGGAGGGTTAAATGGGGAGGTGGGGAGGTTACCTACCTGGAGAAAAAAGGCAGAACATACATGCCATAATGAGCAATGGCTGCCACACATAGGCATGGGCTAGTTTCTGTGGGTACCGCCATAAACACCATCTGCACACCCTGAAATATGGATGCCTTCAGAGCAATAATTGTTCCTCCGCCCCCAGAAGGTCCAGCTCTGAGGGCCTTCTGGCGGTTCCCTCGCTGCAAGAAGCCAAGTTACAGGGAACCAGGCAGAGGGCCTTCTCGGTGGTGGCGCCCGCCCTGTGGAACGCCCTCCCACCAGATGTCAAAGAGAAAAATAACTACCAAACTTTTAGAAGACGTCTAAAGGCAGCCCTGTTTAGGGAAGCTTTTAATGTTTAATAGATTATTGTATTTTAGTGTTTTGTTGGAAGCCGCCCAGAGTGGCTGGTGAGGCCCAGCCAGATGGGCAGGGTATAAATAATAAATTATAATATTATTATTATAAAGGGGGTGTGCGTGAGACCCAGGACAGGGCCTGCTCTGCAGTGGCCCCTAATAATTCTTTCTCCTCCTTGGTTGATATGTCTCCTTCCCTCCTCCCATATCCTCCTCCCTATCTAGGGAACCGCATCGTCATGGGCAAGAACCACGTTTTCCGCTTCAACCACCCAGAGCAGGCGCGGCTGGAACGGGAGCGCAACACTCCCGCGGAGAGCCAGGCCGAGCCAGTCGACTGGAACTTTGCCCAGCGGGAGCTGCTGGAGAAGCAAGGAATCGACATCAAGCTGGAGATGGAGAAGAGGTGGGCGAGTCTTGGCTAGTCAGTGATATCATTTGCCAGAAGCTTGCACAGTGAAGGTGCCAGGCGCACCGCTGTGGGGAGGGAGTTGCAGAGCTCAGGGGCCACCGCAGAGCAGGCCCTGTCCTGGGTCACACGCACACCCCCTTTGAGCTTCTGGGGGTGGAGGAACAACCAAGAGGGGACCCCCTCTGCTGATCTCAGCACCTCAGAAGGTCTGTAGGGAAGAGGGGGGCTGTTTCTTGTGACTTGTGGAGTGGGACCTCTCCTGTGTCTCTGTCACAATTTAGTGTTTCTGTCCTCTCCTTTTCCCCATCACCCTTTTTTTACAAAAAGGCTTCAGGACCTGGAGACACAATATCGTCGTGAGAAGGAGGAGGCAGACTTGCTTCTGGAGCAGCAAAGACTGGTGTGTACATGTCTACATGTCTCTGTTGCCCCATACCTCTCCAGTGTAGGGAGGGAGGAGCAGGCAGGGCAGGAGTGACCCACTTTACAGAGCAGCACCCGATAGGCTGCCCTCTTTGTTGCCATTCTGTTGGAGAGGGGGCGGTCCCGGGTGCAGAGAGTTTGCAGGCCAGAAGCAAACAGGCTGTTGGTCAGCCAGTTCCAGCTCTGCCTATAAATCTCAAAGCCAATATTGTTTCTGGGGCTGATTGCGGCCCCTATGCACCCCCCCACCACAAGGTGCTTCTTTTTGCAACTCATCGATTTTTAAAAAGTTAAAAGGTAAAGGACCCCTGACAGTTAAGTCCAGTCGCAAATGATTCTGGGGTTGCAGCACTCATCTTGCTTTACTGACCAAGGGAGCCGACATTTGTCCGCACACAGTTTTTCCGGGTCATGTGGCCAGCAGGACTAAACCGCTTCTGGCGAAACCAGAGTAGCGCACGGAAACGCCCTTTACCTTCCTGCCGGAGCGGTACCTATTTATCTACTTGCACTTTGATGTGCTTTTGAACTGCTAGGTTGGCAGGAGCAGGGACCGAGCAACGGGAGCTCATCCCGTCATGGGGATTTGAACCCCTGACCTTCCGATCGGCAAGCCCTAGGCCCAGTGGTTTACACCACAGCGCCTCCCGCGTCCCTTTAAAAAGTTACTAACTTGTTAAATTTTAAAGGGTCACACAGCCCAAAAGGGCAAAGACTCAGCACAGCCACAAAAGGCTGTGAAAGTAATATTAACTCGTTCAAAATATTCCCTTTACAAATAATAAAGGTTTCTAAAAACAAAAAACATACTCTTCACCTGTGAGAAGCTTGAGAGCAAAGCTTCTATATAGTATTAAATGAGCTGAACATTTGTATATATACTAATAGCACTGAGTGACCATGTGCCTCAGTGGGAAATGAAATCAAACACAAGCACACACAAACCTATTCTGTATGTGTGAGCGAGAGAGACTGGAGCTCTGCTCACCAAGGCAAAACCGTTTTGAGCATATAATGGCTGCACTGACTCTGACTCCGCAGTCGGGGGAAGCAGTGCTGCTGAATCCTATGCACAGGGGTGCCTCGCAAAACGGTTCGGAAACTTCAGCTGGGGCAGAATTTGGCAGCCAGATATAGCTTGAGCCTATATCGCCAATCCTGGTCTGTCTGCACTGGCTGCCAATTAGTTTCTGGATCCAATTCAAAGTGCTGGCTTTGACCTATAAAACTTCAAACAGCTGAGGACCCCAATACAGTAGACTCTCGGGTTACGTTACCTTCGGGTAACGTAACTTTTGGGTTATGAACGCGACAAACTCAGAAGTGTATACTTCCGGGTTTCACTGCGTGTGCATGCAGAAAAGCGCTTTGCGCATGTGCAGAAGCACTCTATTGCACCGCACGCGTGCGCAGAAGCAGCACCTCTAGATGCGGACTTTTTGGGGTACATACAGACCCCCGGAACAAATTAAGTCCATATCCAGAGGGTCCACTGTATAGCCTCTCCCCATAGGAACCAACCCAAACCCTGCAATCTTCATCCGAGGCCCGTCTTCCTCTTCCACGAAAGGTCCAGCAACACAAGGACGGGTCCTTTTCTGTGGTTGCTCCCTGCTTGTGGGATGTTCTGCCCAGGGAGATTTGCCGTGAGCCTTCATTAGGCACCTGGCGAAAACATTCCTCTTCAACCAAGCCTTTGGCTATTAAACTATAGTCTTTTAAAGCAGTGGAGGCATTGTCCCACCCACTTCTTTTTTATTATTATTACATTATGTGTTTCATGCCGTGGCCTGTCGATAAAGGCGGTATACAAATGAGATATGAGAATATCTTTTCAAGAAGGGCGCTTTGCTAAACCCTTGAATACTAAACCATTAAGATCAGAGTACTTCTGGGATTTGCCCAGTACAGTCCCCACTGCCCCCTGCAGAAACTCAGCTGCGTCCCCCTCTCCTTCCGTCTCCCCAGTACGCAGACTCCGACAGCGGGGACGACTCGGACAAGCGCTCCTGCGAGGAGAGCTGGCGCCTGATCTCATCCCTGCGCGAGAAGCTTCCGGCCACCAAGGTGCAGACCATCGTGCGCCGATGCGGCCTGCCCAGCTCGGGCAAAAAGCGGGAGCCGCTCCGCGTCTACCAGATCCCCCAGCGTCGGCGGGCGGCGAAGGACCCCCGCTGGCTGACCCTGGCCGACCTCAAGATGCAGGCGGTCAAGGAGATCTGCTACGAGGTGGCCCTCAACGACTTCCGCCACTCGCGCCAGGAGATCGAGGCCCTGAGCATCGTCAAGATGAAGGAGCTGTGCCGCCTCTACGGAAAGCGCGACCCCAACGAGCGCGACAGCTGGCGTGCCGTGGCCCGCGACGTCTGGGACACGGTGGGCGTGGGCGAGGCTGACGGCACGGCAGGGGGCGGCGGAGGAGGAGGGGGCTCCTCGGAGGTCCGCACGGGAGGCACCCCCGGCGCGGATGTGGACGACCTCCGGGCCCACATCGACAAGCTGACCGACATTCTGCAGGAGGTGAAGATCCAGAACAACATGAAGGACGAGGAGATCCGGGCGCTGAGGGACCGTGTGGTCAAGATGGAGCGTGTCATCCCCATCTCAGCCCAGGTGAGCTGGGGGGCCTGCAAGGGGGGTAGGGGGGCAGTGATGGTAAGAATAGGAATCTGGCCTCAGACCTATGGCAGAAATTATAGTGGCTTCCTAAAAACACCATGCATCGTTCTGCCCGGACACTGAGGTCCAGCGCTGAGGGCCTTCTCGGTAGTGGCACCCACCCTGTTGAACGCCCCCCCATCAGATATCAAAGAGAACAACAACTACCAGACTTTTAGAAGACATCTGAAGGCAGCCCTGTTTAGGGAAGCTTTTAATGTTTAATAGGTTATTGTATTTTAGTGTTCTGTTGGAAGCCGCCCAGAGTGGCTGGGGAAACCCAGCCAGATGGGCGGGGTATAAATAATAAATTATTATTATATTATTACCATCATCAGGGGCCGTGTGGCTCAGTGAGGCTATCCATCTGGCTGGGCAGCAGATGCCCAGAAGTTGGCAGCAGGGTGTCGGCACAGAGAGTCTCAGCTGAGGACAGCAATCATGGAATGGTAGAGTTGGAAGGGACATCTAGTCCAGTGTGGGTGGAGACAGTAACAATAATTAGAGAACCCCTTTTGGACTTTTTGTGTGAAAAGGACAATGAATGAATGGAGAGGCATTTGGGTCTGGAGTTTGGGAAAACATCGCTTAACAGAAAGTAGAACAGTTGGATACCTCCCTAGAGTGAATGTTTTGAATTATTTCTTCTATGCAATGGACAGGCAGAAAACCAGAAGTTCTTATTTCTGTTTCCATTTGGATTAGTTTATTTCATTGCATTGCAAAAAAGGCTGTCATGAAATCTCCTTCAGACCCTTGCGCTTCTTCTTCTTCTTCTTCTCCCAGGAGGACGAAGACCTCGAGAACGAGTGGGGCTCGCTGCTCTTCTCCGAGGGGCTCGCTCCGTCGGAGGAGGACCCCAAGGAGGACGGGGCGGGTGGCCAGGACTCCCCGACCCCCAGGGAGGCCGGGGAGGAGAGGAGAGGCCCGTCCCCGCCCTCCCCGACCTGCTGCGACCGCGTCTCCCGCCTGATGGAGAAGGACCCGGCCTTCCGCCGCGGGCGCCTCCGCTGGCTGCGCCAGGAGCAGGCGCGGCTCCAGAGCCTGCAGCAGCAGCAGCTGGCCAAAGCCCTGCGCCGCACCCAGCCCCACGCCACCCCGGGCAAGTTCATCCCCCCCCAGGACTGCAAACTGCGGTTCCCCTTCAAGAGCAACCCCCAGCACCGCTACTCCTGGGCGCCCGGCTCCGCCTTCATGGTGGAGGGTGAGCCGGCGAAGGAGGAGAAGGGGGCCGAGTCCTGCCCCCCGCGGCCCGCCAGCCCCCGCCCCGCCCGGAAGAGCAGCCCCGCGCCCCAGCAGAACAGGCGCTCTGTCCCGCCGCGCCGCAACTCCCTGGAAGGCGGGCAGGCGCGCGGGAGGCGGGGCCCCGCGCAGGAGCACTACCAGGCCCGGAAGCACAACTACTACCCCCGCCAGCACCAGCCCTACCCGCAGCACCGGCCCCCCAACGCCCCGGACGGCGGCCCCCCGCCCCGCATGCGCCGGCAGAGGTCAGCCCCCAACCTGCAGCAAGAGCGCGAGAGCGCCGTGTGACCCGGGGCGATCTGGCGCTCCCTGGCCAGGCGGAAGCAGGAATGGGGGCGCGCAGGGAGGGGGCAGCGGTAGCCTCAGATCCCGGACGGCTGCCAGCCTGCCATGGACGGACATGATTCTGCATCACAGAGCTTCCTTCTTGTGGGGCGAGGGAAGCTTGGGCGATGGAGGGTGGGTGTTTTGAGCGCTGCTGCGGTTTCAGGAAGTGTGGAGTCGGATCAGCAGGGTCTTTTCTGGCGGGGAAAGCCAAAGAGGTTGTCGTAGGGTGTATTTTTTTTGTAATAGGAACGGGTTTAGGAGGGGGAAAGGATGGGTTGCTGTTTGGTTTTAAGGCTATGCGATAGAGGAGGTTGTGGAGGGTTTGTGCAAGGAGGTCAGGAGAGTTTGGCGCAAGAGGCCTTCCGGCCGTGGAAGGTGGTGGGCTTCCTCTTGAGCAGAGGTTGGGCGTCCGCCTGTCAGGGATTCTTGGGCTGCGATTCCTGCATCGCGGGGGTTGGTCTAGAGGACCCTTGGGGTTCCCTTACACCTCTACAAGTCTATGAGGAAAGAGTGGGTGGGTTTGTCCAGAGAAGGCCATGGTAAGAATGTGGGGCTGAGGGGCTTCCCCCACACCCCAGTTGCCCCTCTCCCTAAAGTCAAAGCATGGGTGTCCTGCCTGCCTATTTTAGACAATTCCAAAGTGGGGCTGGTGGAGGGGCGGTTGCTGCCTTGGGACGCCCCCACCCCCCACTTTGTGTGGCAGGGGGGCTGGAGCACATTGGCCCCCGTTTAAGTGGTGCTGCCCTGCTCTCCCCCCCCCCAAGGAACAGCCTGTTTGTTGAAGGGGAACTTATGGGGCAGAGGAAACCTCTCTGGGGCTATTGAGGGCTGCTGTCACACACTTTGTCTTGGAGCAGCACACTCTCTGCTTGTGGGTGGAATACTGCCGGGGGGGGCGAGTTGAAGTCCACTTTGAAGGCCAAGGTTGTGGCCACTGAGAAGGCCTCCCCCCCACCAAAAAAAAAAGTTTTTCCTGCCCTCTGTGCAGGGGGCAGGAAGATCTCTTCTTGATTTTCCTCTGTTGTCCGATGCCACTCACGTGCTGTCAATCTATCTTCTATTAGTTCTGGGTTGGGTTGGGGGCTGGGATGAGGAAGCCCCTCTTCAGCTGCAATTCCCACATTGCCGGGGGTTGGACTAGATGACCCTTGGGGTCTCTTCCAGCTCTGCAATTCTATAAAACTGGGCTACTCCTACGACACCCAGTAGGGCAAGACGTCTAACTATCGTTCAGTGGGGCTTTTTTCCCCCTGGGGAGATGGGCGGAAGAGAGGCAAGCCTGCTATCTCTGTGACCGCAATATACTATTTTTAACACACAAACACCCTCCAAAAAAACCACTGAAGCTGATGGATGGGGCTCGGCTCCGCCTGTTGGCTGCTACTGTCCCCTGACCCCCATGCTTTCTCACTGCAGCCAAAGGCCTGCCCCCGACCAGCAATCCTGTGGAACCCCAAGAGGGGGGAGCCTCATGGCGCATTCTCTTCCCCCACCCCCACAAGCTTTGCACGAGCACAGCGCGGGTTGGGCTAGATGGCCTTTGGGGGTCCCTTCCAACTCTACAATTCTAGGGTTCTAAGTGGGTCTGTCCAGCCCTTCCAAAACTGCTTTTTGTGGTGTGTCCCCCGAGGGCTTTCTTGTGGGTCCCCCCCCCCTTTCGTGAGAGGGATTTGTGGGAAGTATGTATGGGGCAGGGGGTGCCTGTCTGTGTGTGTCCACGTGCGTGCGTGTGGGGGGCTGAGTGGCTGCTGCCCCTGGAAATGTGCCTGAAGACCCTCTACTGTTATCCTGTTCCAATAAAGGTGGGGACAACCTGCCGCATCTCTCAACGGACTCTCCTCCCTTCCTTGCAAACGCTGGTGGATTGAGGGGTGATGTGGGTGTGGGGTGCTGGGCTGGCATGGGGGGGGTCTTTATCACCTCCTTTGAGATGGGGGGCACCTGGCTTGACAGCTGCACATGTGAAAAGGATCGATCCACAGGGTGATGCAGCAGCAAAAAAGGCTAATACTACTCTCAGCTGCATCCGCAGAAGTCTAGTGTCCAGATCAAGGGAAGGAATAATCCCACTCTATCCTGCCTTGATCAGACTGCAACTGGAGTCCTGTGTCCAGATCTGGGCACCCTAATTTAAAGAGGACATTGACAAGCTGGAAGGGGCGCAGAAGGAGGCAACCGAGAGGATTAAGGGTTTAAGGGTGTGGAAACCAAGCCTGATGAGGAACGGTTGAAGGAGCTGGGTATGTTTAGCCTGGAGAAGAGGAGAGATGAGAGCCAACATCCAATATCTTCAGGGCTGCCACGTGAAAGATGGAGCAAGCATGTTTCCTGCTGCTCCAGAGGGTAGGACTTGAATCCAGGGCTTGATATTGCAAGGAAGGAATAACTGACTCACAAGGACATTTAACTATGGGATGGACTCCCTTGGGAGCACTGCAGGGCAGACCCTCCCAAGCCCTCCACCAGAGAGCCTCCCATTTTCTGGCCTGCTCAGCAAAACCAGGCTGCGCGTTTCCCCGCCTTCCCTCCCTGGTGACGCAAATCCCTGTTTCTCTTGGCCGCCGACCCCACAGGTCAAGCCCTCTCCTGTTTTCTGTTCCTCGCGCCTTGCTGAGGACGCTGCTTCCCCTCCTGCCCCCCCCACGCAAGCCTCTCGTCCAGACAAGACACGGCTGGTGAATTGTGATGCCTCGCAGCACACCGCCTCCTCCATTTGGGTGCCTCGCTTTTATTTCAACATGTCGAAAAGGCGTTGCTGGTGGCGTGGCCTGATCTCCCGTGCCCCCAAAATCTCCTGCCCCTTTTCAAGGTGCTGCACCCCAGACCCATTCCCACGACGTCTCTCCACCTTCCGGGCCCAGCCAGCGGGGAGAAAGAACAACCAGGGCTTGCAAAAAAGGCTGTCGGCATTCGCACTCAGAGGAAGCGTGGATGACCCTGGTGAGACAGGGCGCTCTCCTTTCGTCTGCAGCCATGGTGGATAGGCGGGCACAGATCCCATTGGTGGTGGGGAGGAAGAAAAGAGGATTCATTGCCCTACTCTTCTAGCTGTCGCCTTCCCCCAGGAGGTCAGGATCGCAGGAATGCCATGGTTAAGAGGCCTGGAAGAAGAGGAAGAGAGGTGGTGATCAGGAATTTCCGCCTTGATCCCAGGGAGGAGCACAAATCCCATCAGCCCCCAGAGGGCTGAGATCCAAAACATCATGTGGTGGCTAGTAATAATAATAATAATAATAATAATAATTTATTATTTATACCCCAGCCACTCTGGGCAGCTTCCAACACAATATTAAAGTACAGTAATGTATCAAACATTAAAAGCTTTCCTAAACAGTGCTCTTGGGAGATGGATCGTCTCTGCTCTAGTGGATGCTCTTGAGCAAAGCATGATGGGAATATCCCTCCACCACCGCTCACACCAGCCATTGGGAAGGATGGAGAAACTTGGCCTAACTCGGTAAATTGCAAACGTCCCCGTTCCCCAACAGTAAGAGCCATTCAATAGCCTTCCTTGGGAGTTGTGAACTCTCCTCCTTTGGAGGTTTTTAAGCAGAGGTTGGATGTGTCAGCTGAGGTTCCTGCATTGCCGGGGGTTGGACTGGATATCCTCTTGGAGTCCTTTCCAACTCTACGATTCTATTATTCTACCCTGAGGACCACTGGAGAATTGCTGAGCAGATTTCGCCCCCTGTGGCAGTCCTGGTACCGCGCTGCGTGCTAGATGCTGTACGGTTTTTGATTTTGCATTTTAATCGCTTCCTGTATATTGCATTTTATTGTAGAACTATTTGAATGCCATAATTGAATACATTATATAAGGAATAAAAGAAGCAACCTGGCTGCTGGATCAGGCCAAAAGGGGCCCATCTAGTCCAGGATCCTGTCCTCACAGTGGCCAACCAGTGCAATCCGGATTTGAGTGCGAGAGACGCCCCCCCATCCCATTCCCCAGAGAAGCTCTCACCAAGGACATAAGCAGCCACCAGCTTCTGCGGGAGGGTGACGTGGAGGGCAGGGGGCACCAACGGGCTGGGCTGACCCTCCAGGGGCAGAATCAGGAGAACCAAGCAGGTGCCAGCCAGCGCCAGGTAGAGGACGAAGATCCGGGGAGGGATGGGCTCAGCGCGGCCTGGAAGGGAGGAGGGAAGCAAGGAAACCAGCGGAAAGAAGCAGAAAGGTCTGTGTCTCAGTTTGCAGCAGGGAGAAGGGTAGTCTCCAAATAGAACAGAGGGGAAAGGAAGAGCCATGCTTGTGGCTGCTGGTTCCTGCGTTGCCAGGAGCGGGGTTGGACTGGATGACCCCTGGGGGGCCCTCCCAGCTCTGTGAATGCAAATGCTGCTTCGGTGGATGGGGTTTGACCTCTCTGGGATGATGGGGAACTTTTGAGTGACTTTAACCTGAGCCAGGTGAGTGGGGTTTTGCTCCGCAGGCTGCCTGAACCCCACTTTCATTTGGGGGATCCACACATGCCCCCTTGGTGGGTGGGAGCAGCGAGGGGGGGCTGCCGTGCGCCCTTGCCAAGGGCTCCCCCCACACACACTTAACTCAGCCTGCCGTTCAACCTCTGTGTGGCTCCTTTAAGAGGAAAGTCTGCCCCTTTCCTTTCAAGATGCCATTGCGTTGTAATAAGTTCAAGTGTTGGACTCTGAGCTGGGAGGGAGCAGGGTTCGAATCCTCCCACTTCCCCTATCACTGCCTCAACTACCTCACAGGGGAGTTGTGGGGATTAAAGAGGAGGAAAAGAGAACCACAGGCTTCTCTTTTTTGGAGAAAAAAGCGAGACATGAAATGCAGTAAATAAATACAGATTCGCTTCCCACCCCCATGGGCTCCCATCTGCCACCCCTACGGTCAGCAGCCAGGCATGGTGAGAACTGGAGTCTTGCAACATCTGGGGGGCCAGACGTGTCCCCACTGCTGGTCTGCCCTCTGGCTAGCCTTCAGGGTTTCATGTAAGCCCTGCCTGGTGGTCAAATCCAGTACCTTCTGCCTTGCAGACCTGCAGCCCCTTCCCACAGATAACCTTTGACCTGCTTTTGAAGCGGGACCCTCTTTCAGGTAACCTCAAGCCCCCCCAATCTCTGCCACCGAAACCGCAAGGATACCCAGTCAATGGCGTTTCACATTTCTTATTTAATACAAGTGCCTTTGTATATAGCAGATTGTTGCACAGGCTGCACGTCTCAATGGGGGTGGCGAACTATAGACTCCCGGTCAGCAGCTAGAGGGACCCTGGGCCTTGATATGTGTGGGGCAGCTTCAGGTGGGCATGGGGCAGTCCTGCCACAGCAGGGACTAGCGTCTTGGACCCCGTTCTGCTCCCTCCCTCACCCACAAGAGACTCACCCAGGCCTCGTGGAGAAAGGGGTGCCCCATGACGAACGATCGCCCGCTGCTGCCCTCTCCTTGCCGGGCCAGGCTGGTTGCTTCCTGGGCGCAGGGTCGTCGCTTGCTCTCCGCCAGCAGGTGTTCCTGGGCAAGGGGTAGAGGGAGGTGTCTGTGGGCATCGATCCATCCCCAGAGGTTTCCTCAGCTGTCCTCTGAGCCTGAAGTCCTCTCCCCCTTATGGGAGAGGCCGTCATTGCCCAGGGTCAGCAGGCTGGGAAATGCACTCTGCGTATGCACAGAGGAGCAAAGGTTCTAGGCCCAGGGTGACCCCCAGCGCTGGGGGAAGAGTCCTAGGATGTAAGAGTCAGGAAGGCAAAAGGGGGGCATCGAAAGGGGGGGGGTTCCTGCCCAGTCTGCCGTCCTCAGAGTGGGCATCCAGATGCACCTCGAATGGGGGGAGCATCGCCAGGTGGCATGAGAACCCACCCACCCTGGATGGTGGTGTGGGGGTCCCTTATTCTCCCTTGCTCCAATCACCCTGCTTCTTAATTCCCCAATACCCCCCTCCGCCCACTTCTTCTCTCGGCTCCTGCGTCCCCCTCCCCACAGAGGGATGCCCCAACCCAGGAGCAGCTGAAGCAGCCCCGCCCCGGAGGGGTGGGGGGCTCTGAAGGGTCTGCAAATATTATTATTATTATTATTATTAGCTCCCAATCAACTATTAAAAACAAAATACAGCATTAAGCATTAAAAATTTCCCTAAATAGGGCTGCCTTCATCATCATCATCATCAAATTTATTATTTATAGCCCGCCCATCTGGCTGAGTTTCCCCGGCCACTCTGGGCAGCTCCCAATCAAGTGTTAAAAACAGTACAACATTAAATATTAAAACCTTCCCTAAACAGGGCTGCCTTCAGGTGTCTTTTAAAGATAGGATAGCTGCATATTGCCTTGACATCTGCTGGGAGGGCATTCCACAGGGCGGGCGCCACCACCGAGAAGGCCCTCTGCCTGGTTCCCTGTAACCTCACTTCTCGCAGGGAGGGAACCACCAGAAGGCCCTCGGAGCTGGACCTCTGTGTCCGGGCAGAACGATGGGGGTGGAGACGCTCCTTCACGTCTACTGGGCCTTTGAGGCCGTTTAGGGCTTTCAAGGTCAGCACCAACACTTTGAATTGTGCTCGGAAACGTCCTGGGAGCCAATGGAGGTCTTTCAGGACCAGTGTTATGTGGTCTCTGCGGCCGCTCCCAGTCACTAGTCTAGCTGCCACGTTCTGGATTAGTTGTAGTTTCCGGGTCACCTTCAAAGGTAGCCCCACGTAGAGCGCATTGCAGTAGTCCAAGCGGGCGATAACCAGAGCATGCACCACTCTGGAGAGACAGTCTGTGGGCAGGGAGGGTCTCATCCTGCGTACCAGATGGAGCTGGCAGACAGCTGCCCTGGACACGGATTTCACCTGCGCCACCATGGACCGCAGTGAGTCCAGAATGACTCCCAGGCTGCGCACCTGGTCCTTCAGGGGCACAGTTACCCCATTCAGGACCAGGAGCAATGCTTCTGAACTCCAGTTGCTGGAAACTGCGGGAGGGGAGAGTTGCTCTTGTGCTCGGATCCTGTTTGCGGGTTCCCCATCTGGTTGGCCACTGTGAGGACAGGTTGCTGGACTGGACGGGCCTGATCCAGCCGGGCTCTTAGGAGGCCAGGAGAGAGAGAGAAGGTGGTGGTGCTGCAAACCCCCTCTCAGCTCCGGGACCCCCCGATTCCCCCCCCGCGCGCCCCCCCAGGGGCTGCCTAGGTCTCTGCCCCGAGGGCAGGCCAGACAAGAGCATTCCCAGCCCCTGGCTGGCTGCTGCGGAGGGGCAGAGGGGGCACTGACCAAGCCCGCCCCCCATTTGTTTTGGGGGGGGTCCCTCCACGTGTCTCCCTCCCTCTCTCCACCCCCCCCCGCAGCCGCCCCTCTCTCACCAGCTGCTGCCTCCTCCTCCTCCTCCTGTCCGTCCGCCCTCCGGACCCGCCTTCCCCTCTCCCGATTGGTCCAACTGCTTCCTACTCCGGCCGCCTGGTGGGCGGGGCTCTCTCCTCCCCGCTTTCCTATTGGTCAGGCGCCTCCATTGATCGCCGCCGCCGCCTTCCTGGCCTGGCAACGAAGCCACGCCCACCCGGCCCTGATTGGCGGGAGCTTCCTGTGACGCCACACACATACCGCGGGCGGAGGTTCCCTCAGACGGGGGTCGCCCACCTGAAAGAGTCTTCGGGCGCCTCAATTGGGCGCAATTAATCATAGTAATTATTATTATTATTATTATTATTATTATTATTATTATTAATAATAATAATTACTATGATTATTATACTATACTATGATTATTATTATTATTAATAATAATGATATTAAGCCACCGGAAGACTCCATAATCATTATTTGATCATTATTAATAATATAATAATAATAGTAAATCACGCTTTTGCACTTAAACTCTCCTCATTGGGTGTCCCTCATTCAACTCTACTGTCCTAAGATCCTAGTATTCTACTCTTCTTGTTCCAAAATGAATTTAACTCCGAGCTAGATAATATTCTTGTATTATCTGCTGTTTTAATTGACAAATGATAGAATTTTTGAAAAAGATATCTGGGCGAAGGAAGATTATATAACAATCTTCTATTTTAAAAATGAAAGATGAATTAGTCACGAATGCACGTCTGAGCGGGCATCTTGTATGTCTCTCTCCTTTTGCAACTATACCCCGAGTTCCACCCCCCAGGGCGCTCTAGGTCCTGGCACGACAGGCTCTAACCACTAGGCCGCCACTGTCTCTTTCCGACTCCCCAAGAAACGCCCCTCGCAGCGTCCTTCGGGGTCCCGGGGGCGCCGCGTGGGCTTCGCTGCTGGAGGAGAGGAGCGCCAGACCCCCGGGCTCCCCTTCCTGCCCGGGGCTGCGGCTGCGGGTCCGAAACTGCCGCGCGATCTCGGGGGCGCCCTTCTCACGACGCGTGTCGTCGTCTTCTCCACTCGGAGGCAGGAGATCGCTGCTGGGACCCCCCGGCGGGAGGGAAGGGCGCCCCTTCGGGATCTGCTTGGGGGGGCTTCCCAAAAGAGACCCCCGGGCATCTTTCCCCCCGGAGCGGAGCGCGCTCTGCACATGCTCCTCTGCCTGGCCGTGGCTCTCCGCCCGCCCCCTCGGCCCCTCCCCGCCGCCTGGCTCCCCCCACCGGCTCCCCATAAGCAGGAGGCGGCGCTGCTGGGACGCCACTCCGTCCCCGTCTCGCCGCCCGCCCCGTCCAGCTCAGGGAAGCGCCCCGAAAGCGACGACGATGGCGCCCCACTTCTCCCTCCTGCTGCTCGCCCTCCTGCCGCTGGCTCGGGCCCAGGACCCCCCCGCCGGGAACAACACCAGGTACCTGCGCGCGCCCCCCCCGACCCGTCTCATCTGCCAGCCCCCCATCCCAAGAAATACCCCCAAGATCGGGGCTGGGGGTGACTTTGCGCCATAGATGCCCCCTTCCCTGTTCCACATCCTGGGGGTGCTTGCGGGGGGGGGACTGCTGCTGCTGCTGCTGCGCGCCCCCCCCCCGACGTTTTGGGTCTGTCCGCGCCACATCTGGAAGGGTTTAGGCGAGACGCGGCTGGTCCGGCTGCCAGGAGCCGGGATGAGCCAAGCGGATTCCCGGAATTCTTGGACGGGGTGTCAAGAGAGCTACTGGGAACGGGGGCGGGCGGGGGGGGGACGGCGGCTCTGGGTCAGGGGCAGAGAGGCTGGGAGGAGGGGGGGCCCACAGCCCCGCCGCCCGCCCCCTTCTTAGCCCCGGGCTGTCTAGGAAAGGGGGCAGGACGTCTGCTTGGCATGCAGAAGGGAGCCCGTCTGAAATCCTGGAGAGCCGTTGCTGCCAGCCTGAGCTGGATGGACGAAGGAAGAAGCTTCTTTACGCCAGGGGGTCTTTAACTCCCAGACCCCTAGTGGAACGGACTCCCTCAGAAGATGGCAGGCTCTCCTTCACTGGGGGTTTCAAAGCAGAGTTGGAGTCGGGGATTCTTCCTGCATTGCAGCGGGTTGGGCTGGATGACCTTTGGGGGTCCCGTCCAACTCCTTGGTTCTGTGGGGCATGTCTTGTCCCCAGTGCCCTGTTTCCCCCCTGCCTCTCTCAACGCTTCTCCCTCTCCCTTCCAGACCCATCTTCCTCTGCGGGGGCGACCACACTGGCGACAACGGCTACATCGCCAGCGAGGGCTTCCCCAGCCACTACCCTCCCAGCAAGACCTGCGTCTGGACCATCACGGTGACTCTCCCTTGGGGCGGGGGTCCTGGGCAGGGGGTGGGGGGACACGCAGTTAGGTACCCCCGCTCCGGCTCCCACCAGTTGCTGACCATTGGCAACGGCTAGCTTGACCGACGTCTCCCAGTGCGTTTCCTGGCCGGGGGATGATTCGAACCCTGATCCTATTGTGCAAGTGTGGCGCTGAATTAAGGCCGCACAAGGGGAGCAGCCTCCTTTTCTCCTTCTATGTCTGCAGCTATTTCAGATTTTATTTCCCCCGACGTGTGGGTGCCAGTCTCCTTTCTCCAGGGGTGCCCCTGATTCTCCCTCTGCCAGCCTGCCCACCCCCTGGCATCTGACAGCCCCTTTGCCCCCCATTCCCAGGTTCCAGAAGGGCAGGTGGTGATGCTCTCCTTCCGAGTCTTTGACATGGAGCCGGACCCCGTCTGCCGCTACGACTACCTGGAGGTCTACAACGGGCACTCGGCCGTGGACGGTCAGCGCCTGGGCCGCTTCTGCGGCACTTTCCGGCCCGGGGCGGTCCTCAGCACCAGCAACCGGATGCTGCTGCGGATGGTGTCCGACGAGGGCACCGGAGGGAGGGGCTTCCTGGTGTGGTTCAGCGGGGGGCTCCCCCATGTCGACGGTAAGGGACCCCGCTTGCAGCGGCTGGTGGCTTTGGGGCTGGCGGGAGTTATAGTTCCAAACTTCTGGCGGGTGCCAGGTTGGCCGAACCCTTCTGACTTACCCACAATTCCTCTGGCAAATTACCCAGGATCCTTTGGATCCCCCTGCTGAGAACAAGGAGGTTTGGATGCCAATCTTGTTTCCCCATCAAGCCAAGATTGCATATTTAATAGTCAGGGAAACAAAGTCCTGAGATTGTGAGTCGCGCTGAGATCATGATGATGATCAGTTGAGGGAGTTGGGGATGTTTAGCCTGGAGAAGGAGAGGCCGGAAGGTGATACTAGAGCCATCTTCAGAAATCTGAAGGTCTGCCCCATGGAAGATGCAGCAAGCATAGGACTCGAACCCATGACTTCAAGTAACAAGAAGGGAGATTCCGACTCAACATCAGGAAGAACTTTCTAATGGCAAGAGCCATTTGTCAGTGGAACAAACTCCCTCTGAAGGTGGGGAAATCTCCTTCCTTGGGGGTTTTTAAGCAGAGGGTGGGGGGCCACCTGTCCTATATAATAATAATAATAATAATAATAATAATAATTTTATTTATACCCCGCCCTCCCCAGCCAGAGCCAGGCTCAGAGCAGCTAACACCAATAAAATTACAGTAAAATCATAATAGGAAAAACAACAACACCAATTTTAAAATGCAGCCTCATTTTAAAAGTAGCCCATAGATCAATATATGATCTATAATGATCTGGCTGAGATTCCTGCATTGCAGGGGGTTGGACTAGATGACCCTTGAGGTCCTTTCCGACTCTACAATTCTGTGATTCATTTGGGGCTTTTAAGCAGAGGTTGGATGGCCGCCTGCCAGGGATTTTTTCAGCGAGATTCCTGCATTGCAGGGGGTTGGACTGGATGACCCTTGGGAGAAGCTCTTCCAACTATGAGTCATTATTTGCTAATTTCTTATTCTGGGACCACAGATGACTTTTGAAAGTAACGTTGCACAGAAACCCCCAAGAAGCAGCCAGCAATGGGATCCTAGGAGGACTGGATCTCAAATACTAATTTAACAACCATTAGACTGACAAATAGCTTGCAGGGGGCAGGGTTTTGGGAGAGGAGCGTTTGCCGGCTGGAATGTTCAAAGCGTGAGAGGGGACTGCTGTGGAATCTCCCTGGATCACGGCAAGCATTTGACCTTTGACCTCGAGTAAAAAGGATCCGGCAGGGAGAGTTTTAGGCCGAACCAGCTGCTGATGAGGGAGGCTGGCAGTCTGCACCCTGGGGTGGCACGAGGAAAGGGGGGGCGGTCAGGTCTCTCGCACCCCCTTTCCTTCCCCCCCGCCCCATCCCAACGCACAGGACCTTTTTCCAGGGCGCCCAAAGGGACGAGGAAAAGGGGGTGCCCATCATATAGACTCCTGGGGGTTCTGGGAGCCGTGGGACTATTGGGACGGTGAGTATGAGACCCCCAGTTCTTTCCCGCAGTGGCAGCTGCAGAGACCCCCTCCTGCCCCTCCAAGGAGGGCAAGGCCTGGGCTTGGCTTGGCTTCTTGGGGGGTGGGCAAGGGTGGGCAGGGGGTGCCTTGCTGCTTTTGGAAGCCCATAGTCAGGAGGGTTTGTGGGGGGGGTCCTCTGCTCAAGGGGGAGACCCCATCCCGGGTCCTCAGGAGGGGCTGGAAGTATGGGATGGAAGAGACGGACGCCCCTCCAAATAAAATTCTCATTCCCTCCCCGCCTTTCTCTGCCTGCTGGCCCGGGCGATGCCAGTCTCTTCCTGCCATTCCTGGTCCTTCTGCAACCAGTCATTAGTGCGGTCTCCCAAATTGCTGTTTTCGCCCTGTGGTTTTGCTCCCTTTGGGGGCCTCTCTCTCCGCCCCCCTGGACGGTTTGCAGAGCAAACAAGCATTCAGACCATAAGACGCCAGACCAGCTTTGATTGCAACCCCCCAGTAAAATAAAAACACCCCCCTTCCTTTCCTGAAACCCCCCATCCATCCCGTTGGGTCTTTGATCCCTGGCCCCTTCAAAGCCCTCGCTGGCTGCAGGACAGGCCTGGCCTCTGAATTGGGCTTAGTTAGGGGGCTCGTCTGGGGGGGGTGTAGAATATTGGCTGGCATGCGGCACGTGGGTAGAGGTTTGTGCAGGAATGGCCGGCCTGAGGGCGTGCAGGGGTTTTGCCTGCTTGCACATGGGCATGCGGGCACGATCCCTCAAGGCAGCGACTGGCACACTTGAGCCCCCTTCCTCTGTGGGTTCAAAAGGCTGGGTGTGGGCCCACCTTGTGCCCACGGCTCCCAGAGACTCTGCACGTGTCGGGGGGTGGCATGGGGCCCCGTGGGGTCTGTGTGTGTGTGTGTGCACGCTTGCAGCTGGCGACCCAGAAGTTTTCCTCTGTGCCACCTCGAGAGACAAGGGCCACAATGAGTTTCTGAGCATCCCTGGCCTGGCCCGTTCCGCTGACCCCCTTGGCGGCCCTGCCCCTCTTTCTCTCTTTGCAGAGCACCAGTTCTGTGGGGGGAAGCTGGAAAAACCCCAGGGCACCCTCAAGACCCCCAACTGGCCTGAGAGCGACTACCCGCCCGGCATCAGCTGCTCTTGGCACATCATTGCCCCAAAGGACAAGGTAAGGCTGCTCGCTTGTCCCCTTAACCGTGTCGCAGGGGGTTGGGCTGGATGACCTTAGGGGGTCCCTTTCTGCTCGGCAGTTCTGTGTTTCTTGCCGGCTTCCTCTGTGGCCTCTCTTCCTAGGGCAGTGGGTGGGGTGGCATCCAGCAACCACCTCCATTCTCTGCCTGCAAAGCTTATGAGTCAGGCCATGCCCACCGGCGCAACGGGAACTGATTCCCTCTCCTTTCCCCCCTGGCTCAGGTGATTGTCTTGACCTTCGGGAAGTTTGACGTGGAGCCCGACACCTACTGTCGCTACGACTACGTGGCCGTTTTCAACGGCGGAGACCGAGACGACTCCAGGCGCATTGGCAAGTTCTGCGGGGACGAATCGCCCAGGTGAGGTTTTGCAGTGCACAAATTTCCCTTTCTGTTGCGACTGGAGCACAGGCAGCGTCAGGGTGGTTGCAGTCCCCCGTTGCTTCAGCGTGTCTCCTCTTTGGGATGCATCCTTGAAATATAGGATTGTAGGGTAGGGAGGGACCCCCGAGGTCATCCAGCCCAACCCCCTGCCCTGCAGGAATCGCAACAGAAGCACCCGCAACACGCCAAGCTCTGCTCAAAAACCTCCAAGGAAGGGGAGTCCGTTTCACGCTCATCTCAAGATCCCCAGAGCATTTCAGTGACAAATGTATGTCCCTCGTCCTCTTGGGGCTCAGTA